CATGATATCACTCTTACGATATCTTCTGATAGATACCCTTCAGTATCGTAAGTCTTCTAATTTCCTCCATTCACTACGAGTCTTCACCATGATGTTCTGCACACCAAATCAGGTGTTTGGTATATCAAGACGAGAATATAGACAGATGAAGATTTAGACGCGTATTCCTCCTTATTACTACGAAAAGTTACATGCCAGTCCTAACACCGTAATTAAACTTTTAGAAATCTGAACACATAAAATTTCCAGATCCAATCGGCAACAGACCATAGATCCGATCAAAAAATATCATAAAGCATCACAAATCATTCAGCACTTAAAAGCATTTTAGGCATCTTCCCTAATTAAGGTAGTTCTTGTGTCTATTTCACGTGTACTACCAAAAAGATATTGGACACACTCCTCACAATCATTGCTTAGCATTCTAAGTTTAAATCTATAAATAAATCCATATTCCTAGTTTACTTAAACTAATGCCCTGATTGTTGGATAAGGTGTCTAAGTCCATAACTTATTTGGTACATACTTGACCCCACCCGGCATGGTCCATTTGGGTTGCATTTCATCCAAACTATTTATGGATAACTTTATGAGAGTTATACACATATGATTATTAATATATTATAAGTTATAATATATTAATATGAATTCATGTTATTTAATTTGTATTAGTCTTAAATTAATTATGAATTAATTTAGAGATTAAAAGGAAGACTAATTAGATTGTAGGCTATTGGTTTTATATGGTGTGGGCTAACACTCATTTGTTAATGGGCTAGGCTTGTATGGAAGTCCATGGATGATCCATGGAGATTTTAACCCATGGATCCTTGGAAAAGGAAAGGTCATGGGTTATTAGGGTTTCACCCTAATCATGTACACTATATAAGCATGCTTATGTTGCATGAAATAGCCACTAGTGTAACTAGTCTATGTGTTTGTGTGTGGCCGATTTTATAAGTGTGTATACACTCTCTAAAAGTTTTCCAATAGTTTGTGGTGATTTGTGATTCCATTTGAGGCATTCACAGTATTGGTGCTTGGCCCTCAAACTCCTTAGGAATCAAACTCATCATCAAAAGGTATGTAATCTCATCTAATTCTTTTATGTTTAAAAGTACCCCATGCCATGTTAGATAGGTTATGAACCTTGGAAAATTATTATTTTGCATGTATTTAGACAAACATAGATTCAAGGTTTATTAGGGTTGCATGCACACTTAGGAAGTGTTAGATTGCTCAAAACCCAACAGTGGTATCAGAGCCTAGGCTTGCTTGTTTGATACTTGATGCAAAATAGTGAAAAAAAGTCAAAATTTTTGCTGTCTGCATGATGGAATCGCCGAGTCCATGGGGGGACTCGCCGAGTCCAAGGCAAAATTCATCCTACTTGCCGAGTAGGTTCGTGCACTCGGCGAGTAGAAGGTTCAGAATGCAGATTTTCGACTTTTGCTGCTGGAAATGGATTGGAAACTTTACCCTAAACTGTTTTGATGTTTTAAAACTTATTTTAGTTGGTGTAATGGTTGTTCTAATCCATTTACAATAGCATATATCAAAATTTCATGCTTTGTATGTGTTCATATAATTCTTGAAACTTTGATAATCATGTTCATGTTCTTAAGAATTTAGAAGATAATAGGAATTATTTGCTGAATTGTTTAGGATTAATTCATGATCATTTATGTGTTTTAATGGAGTCCATAATTTGTCCTCAAGTTATAGATATCCAAAGGTCACTTTTCTTTAACACACATTAAAAAATACACATAAGTTACATAAAATGAAGAGTCTTCATTTTATGAACCTTTAATTCATAAGTTATGAAATGAAAAGTTTTGAAGAGTTACAAAACTTGCCCTCAAGTTTTGGAATTTGGAAAAGTTTCACACACTTTAATAAACTTTAATTCCAACACTTAGAATTTTAAAAGTTAAAATTCAACACTTATACTATTTATAACATTAATGGTTAATTATATATATATATATATATATATATATATATATGTGTGTGTGTGTGTGTGTGTGTATGTATGTATGTATGTATAAGAACAAGTCGTTTTACCGTTAGTAGGCCTCATTCACGAAGCCGGTCTACAAGGTGGGTATAAGGTTGTTGCCTATAAAATGGCGACTTAATGGGTGTCCACTCTCACCCACCGCTTGCTTGATCGGTGGAGGGTCGTTAGCCGAACGGGTAGGACAATGATATTAAATTCTCATTAAAAGTATAATGATTATTATAAAGTAACTAAATGTTTTTATTTAATTCCCAATCTTAGTTACTTTAGGAAAAATGTGAATTTGGTGCTAGCCCATGGAATTCACACTTTGTACCTTACCAAGTCGTTGGTGGAGCGTGTGTGGTTAACCGGCACACTAACTTGGACTAGTAAGGATCAATGGAGTGTGTGTGGTTAACCGACACATTGATTAGGTGATAATATTAAGGGTACCAAGTAATTGGTATGGTTATTCACACCTTCTTTTGTGATCCTCGGCATCCCAATCACAAAATTTGAGAGGGCACACTCGAGATTGAAACATGCCATTGAAAATTTTAATGAATCTCAAAAGATCTAGGAATTTCAAATCCAATTAAAACCTAATAAATTATTTCATTTTTCATGGTGGAAATTGGTGAATCGTCATTCGCCTACATTCAAATATTTTATAGCTTGGATTACGGCATCCCTCTTCCAAGTTATAAAATATTGTGTTGGGTCCTAGCCTTAATATTTCATATTGGGTGTTATATTAAGGATTTTGAATCAACTAACTTGATTTTCTCCCATTATAGACGTCTGGTTTAGACAACTATGATCTTCCCAAATCTCTTGAAGATGGTGTCCCTCAACATCATGCATCACTTCCTCCACGTCCTCCAATTATTCTCCCTCGCCCACAAGTTCTTGAAAAGTTTAAAGTCACTCAATCCCTATTGGCAAGCATAGTCTATGTGTGCTCACATCTTGGAGATAAAGTGACATATTGACAAGCCGGGAGAGTTGGGTGTCAAAATCTCGTGAAAGTTGGATGTTCAATCACTTTCTTAGTAACATAGTGAGTCTCTTTGGGACTACTATGAGACAGACTATGACACAAGCCTTAATGATCTTATCTATTTGCTTTGTGCTGCGGAATCAGCAATGATTTGGAACACTAGTAACGCAAATTTTATTAGAAGATCAACTTCCCAAACCTTAAATGGACATTGGCAATGGTAGCATTGGATATCTAGAAAAAGATTTTTCTTCCCAATGGAAAGGGATCGGCCATAATCAACTCAGTTGACCAAATGGTAAAGAGAAAGGCTAAGTCTGAGATAGTCTCAAGTGCCATTACCAAAGGGTCCATGTGTTTTGTTGCCAAAGGGAGAGACACTGATTGCGAAGCTGCCATATTTACCTGAAAGATAATAAGATTGATTGAAAAGACCTGAGATCAATCAATTTATCAAACAATGACAGTAAATAGGAACAATAAGGATTCACAAAGAAAAACTTTCACTAAGAAGGATAATCTCACAAAGAGATTATTGTATGCACAAAGCGGCTATTAGGGTTTGTGAAAGGCGTAACCTATTACAAACTGATACAAAAGATTATATACTACTATTCTAGACAATCCCTATAAATCAGGGATATGCCAGCTAACTAAGTTACGCTAACTATGGAAACAAGATAAATACAAAATCTGTTACAATGCACTGAATAAATCTATATACACTGAGCTTATTGAAATGCTGATGCTGATGCTGAGACATGCGCTGATGCTGAAAGATTTATTTCAAACATCATCATATTTCAAGGATTGACCTTACAATCTCCTCCAATATGATGATGTTCAAAACCAACTAAATTAGAACACCTCTGGACAAGAATTCCTCATACTCAGCTTCAACTTCTATTTTTACTGGCCAGTAAGGACTATCCAGCAACTCCTGTCTTCTATTCAGCAGCTCCATAGCAATAAGGATGTGAAACTCTCCGGAGAGATCTTGATGACTCATACATATTTGCCTTAATCCAACGAGATGAGTGGTTGGAGCCCTTGGAATCTCAGCAGTTCGCTGAAAACACATTTTTCTGTTTTTGTCGAGATAGAACATCCCGTGTTTAGGAACTGAGATAAATTTATGTTGAATCGGGTCAACACCGATAGGAAGAGAGTTGTTTATTCCACCAGCACCAAAGTTTAGAACCAACACATCTTCACTATCAACTTGAAATTTGGTTCTTCGGATTCTAGGAACAGATGAACTTTGGCCTTGATGTTGTTGTCGTTCTTTAGGAACAAGGTCCAAACACTGAACTTTCTTGATCAGCAGATGAAGAGCAGATGTCAGTTCAGAGGAGAGAGCTGAGGTTTGCTTGGATGCTAATTCGAGTAATTCCATCCATTCAGAATATCCATATTTGATCAGCTCATCCCTCTTGACAACTTCAGTGTATGGATATTGTGGACCTTGACGAGTGATCAGCAACGTAAGAATTTTCTCATTGCGTGGTTTGGAAGCTTTAACTTTGATGATTTTATCAATACACACTCGTTGTCTAAGAACATCTTCAAACCTCTTTTGATCAATCCTGTCTAGAACACTATCAGTCTTAGGCTTACTGCTGCTAGGAAGGGGTTGAGAAGATTGAGATTTGGACTGAAATTCTAAGAATTTCTACATCTGAGCTTCAAAAGATCCTTTGGCCTGAAGTTGGTGCTGAATGATAGATTCATCAGCGTGAGCAATATTCTTTAGAAGCTGAGCCTGATTGGCTTCATCAAGAATTTGTTTAACTTGATCAGGTGACATGTTCCATTCAGCCGCCAAATTTGATATACTGACTATGGACTTAGGTTTCTTGTAGGACAGAGAAGTATCAGTGTTTGAAGGAGCCAAGTCAGTATCTACTGCCTTGCGCTTGCGAGATAGCGGGTGAGAATCTTCACTAGCAACGTCTGAATCTTCTCCTTGGACCAGAATAATGGGATCAATGAATTTCATGTCTGGCCTTTGAGATTCATTATCAAGATCATATGAATCTTCTTCTTGGACTGGAATAAAGGGATCAATGAAGTTCATATCAAGAATTTGACATTCATCATCTTGTTCATCATCATGCTCACTATCATCTTGTTCATCATCATGCTCACTATCTTCAACAAGCTTTTCAGTATCTGTTGGACTATTAGACTCGTGCATCAGCTTTGGTGACTCAGTCTGAACTAAAGTGTTGTCAATATATTCAGTGTCTCTCTCTTTTGGATTATCATCAGTATTATCATCAGTATCCGTATCTCCCCCTTTTTGAGCATCATCAGTTTGGGGACAAGAGGAAGGAGTATGTAAGAGAACTTCCTTTAGCTGGTGAACATCAGCCTCAATGCGTAGAAGACGTTGACTCATGTCCCGAGTCAGTGTCAGAAGTTCATTAAATGTTGAGGCTGGAATTTGAAGGAATGAAGTACCTGGAGCTGCTTGTGAGTGTGGTTGCATCCCCTGAGAAGGTTGGTCCCCCTGGGGTAGATTCTCCCCCTGGGAGGGATGCTCCCCCTGAAATGGTTGCTCCCCCTGAATCAGTGGTTCCTCTTGAGTTGAGTGAACTTTCTCAGTGACAGAGACCGTATGATGAGAAAGTTGAGGGGAGAAATGACCACCATCATGTGGTTCAGCCTCTTGACCGGCATGATCTGCATGGTTACCATTAGCTCCTTCATCAGTATCAGTGGTAAGTGAAGGAACAGTGTATGGATTTGCAATCCATTCTCTCATCCTATCAGAGATGCCGATGTCAGATTCCAATGGATCATCTTGATACATTCGAATTGACATGCGAGGGCATTGGATAGGATTTCCAGGGTGTGAGAAGTAATCTGCAGCAAAAAATTTATCGAGCACAAGAGCAATCCAGCGTGGGAAGGGAATGTGATCAGCGCATACATTCGCACGAAGAAGTTGAACAAGTTGATCAAAGAATAAAGCCCCATAATCAAGTCTTTTATTGAGAAGAAGTGAGCAGACGACTTGTTGCTGTTAAATGCTCAGTTGATCACCACTTCGAGACATATGACCCACATAATTGCATAGAGCACCGGTGAAGAATTTCCATCCTGGGGTCATACGTTGACGCAGAATAAGAGCTGATCGAGCACCAGCCTTTGAGTGATCATATCCCAATTGATCGAATAGACGTCAACAACGTTCAATAGAAGGAAGTTCAGAGAAGGGTTCAAAGATCGGTAACCTGAGTGCAGCACTGAGGAGTTCAGCGGTAATAAAGACTGAGTGTCTTCCACGGCCAATAGTCCCGGTGATGACATTGTTTTCATCATTGACTGTTGCAGTGTAGTAGAACTCACAGACTTGTTCAGGGAAGAATTCTGATGGAATGTTACTGATGGCGTATCGGAGATGGCAGGAGGCTAAGAAATTAACGAAATCATCGAGTCCAAGACCTCGATGAACATCTGGAATATCAGGGTTGAAAACAACGTTGGTGGCTTTGATGTATAATGGGAGAGGAGGAGAGTTTGGGGCAGGGATTACCCTTCGTGAAGTAGAGGAGAAAGTGAATAGAGATGCCGCCATTAAAGCGTTTTAGGATTCTAGGGTTTTGAATATAAGCGAAGGAAATTTAAATTGTGGAAGGAAGGTTTGAAATAGGGGTGGAAAGAGGTTTAAATATGGAACTAAACGGGCCTTTAAAAAAGGCAATGATTATCTTCTCCAAAAATAACTGCGTATTGTAACAACCTCTCAAATCAGAAAAAATAGTCGTTGGGTAAAAAGAGCCATTGGACTGAAGATGAAACGACAATCAGCGTCTGCGGAAGCGCTAAGATCAGTGTCACAAAACTTACATGCTGAGGATGGTTCTCCGTCAATTCAAAGTACAACTTGCTTGATTAAGGCTAGCAAGGAGGTTGGTGCGTGTGATAGATACTAGTTATATTATCTAACCATCGACACAGAGTGTTGTGTCTCTATCAGTGAGTGGTTTATCTTACTGAATCATTAGACACTGAATGAGAAGAAGGTAAAGAGAGGATTGTTGCGTGTGATAAACCTTGGTGTTTTGGTCTAACCATCGGCAAATATTGTTAAATTCTCATCAGCGTGTGTTTTGTCACACTGAATCACGGAATCAGTGTGAGATTGGTAAGAAGAGATAGTTGCGTGTGATAGATCTTGGTGTTTTGATCTAACCATCGGCAAAGAGTTTAAAGTTGTTATCAGTGTATGGTTTAATACAGTGAGTCATTCAACTTTAGTTTAGAAGATTTGAAGAAGAAGAGAGAGATATGAGATCAAACCAAGTACTTAGTATGCAAATATCAGCAGCATGTCATCATCAACAAAATGTACATCAGCTTATAATACAATTCCAAACATTAGCAAAATTAATCAGTAAAATTAATTACAAAGTAATCATTCCAAGTTCTCCAATAATGTAAGCAGTTGTTTGAGAATCCAGTGCCTTGGTGAAGATATCAGCTAGTTGTTCCGAAGTCTTGACATGTTCAAGAACAACCTTGCCCTTCTCAACATTATCTCTAATGAAGTGATGTCTGATTTCGATATGCTTCGTCTTTGAGTGCTGAACAGGGTTTTGTGTGATTTGAATGGCACTGGTGTTATCACAGTATATGGGAGTCTTTGAGAACTTGATCCCATAGTCTAGAAGCTGATTTTGAATCCATAAGAGCTGAGCACAACATCTCCCAGCTGCAACATTCTCAACATCTACAGTCGAGATGGCTACTAATGTTTGCTTTTTGCTAGACCAGCTGACGAGACGATTTCCAAGGAAATGACATCCACCTAACGTACTCTTTTTGTCTAAGTTGCATCCTCTATAGTCTGAATCAGTGTATCCAAAAAGTTCAAATGCTGAGTCGCGAGGATACCACAGTGCTAAGTTCTGAGTCCCCTTCAAGTATCGAAAAATACATTTGACGGCCATGAGATGAGATTCCTTGGGATTGGCTTGGAATCGAGCACAGAGAATGGTTCCAAACATGATATCAGGACGACTTTTCGTAAGGTACAAAAGAGATCCAATCATTCCTCGATACAGAGAGTGATTGACATCAGTGCCAGTTGGATCGACGTGCATCTTATCAGTCTTGGATACTGGAGTAGAGGCTGGTTTGCAGTCACTGAGAGAATACTTAACAAGCAGGTCAGAAATATATTTACTTTGGCAAATAGAAATGCATGATCTTTGTTGCTGAACTTCAAGACCTAAGAAAAAGGTCATCTTCCCCATCATGCTCATTTCGAATCTTTGAGACATGATCTCTGCAAATTCCTTGCTCAGTTTCTCATTTGGAGAACCAAAAATGATGTCATCGACATAGATTTGAACAAGAATCATGTCTGAGGCTTTGTTTTTGATGAAGAGAGTATTGTCGATTACTCCTCGTCTGTATCCATTTTCAAGAAGATACGATGTCAGCATCTCATACCAAGCCCTGGGTGCTTGCTTCAGTCCATAAACAGCTTTTTCTAGTCGGTACACATAATCCGGGTGATCTTTGTCAACAAAGCCTGGGGGCTGATTGAGGAATACTTCTTCTTCTAATACACCATGAAGAAATGTTGTTTTCACATCCATCTGATAAACAATGAAATTCATGTAGGATGCGTATGCAAGAAACAGTCTGATTGCTTCAATGCGAGCAACTGGAGCAAAGGTTTCCCCGTAGTCGATGGATTCAATTTGAGGAAACCCTTGAGCGACAAGCCTTGCCTTGTTGCGAGTAATGATTCCATCTTTATCAACCTTGTTGCGATAGACCCAGCGTGTTCCGGTGATGGTCTTTCCTGATGGTATGGGAACAAGAGTCCACACCTTGTGCCTTTCAAACTCATTCAGTTCTTCTTGCATGGCTTTAATCCAGTCAGCATCTTGAAGAGTTGAGTGTATCTTGTTAGGTAAGATCATTGAAACGAAATTAACATACATGAAAATATTATTAGATACACGAGATCTGGTTCGGACACCATCATGAATATTCCCAATAATTTGATCGACAGGGTGATATCGATGTTCAGAAACTGATGCTGATTCCAATGAATTTGACACTGACAAGTTATCAGTTGCAGGAGAATCTTCAGCTTCAAGGGTTTCATCAGCACCTGATGAATTATTTGATGATCTGGCTGCAGTATCTGGATTCAAGGAACTTGGAACTGGAACGATAGAATCAGAAATAGTAGCTTCATCTTCAGCATGAGGAACTTCATCATATGGGCAAGAGAGAAGCTCTTGAAAAATAGAGGAAGAATGAGTGACTTTTTCATCAGTGTATGATTCCTCATCAAACTTCACATGAATGGATTCTTCAATGCATTGCCTGTTCACATGAAAAACACGAAAAGCCTTTGAAATAGATGAGTACCCAACAAAAATACCTTTGTCAGCCTTTGGTTCAAATTTTGATCTTGGGTCACGTTGATTAAGAATATAAAAAATACATCCGAATACATGAAAGAAAGATATGTCTGCCTTTCGACCTTTCAGCATTTCATATGGTGTCTTCTTGTGAATCATGTGGATTAGAGATCGATTTTGAGTAAAGCACGCTGTATTAACAGCTTCAGCCCAAAACGACATAGGAAGACCAGCATGAATCATTAAGGTCCTTCCTGCCTCAATCAGTGTTCTATTTCTTCGTTCAGCAACTCCATTTTGTTGAGGAGTGCGAGGAGCTGAGAAGTTTTGCCCAATACCTTTATGATCACAAAATTCTTCAAGAGTTGAATTCCGGAACTCAGTGCCATGATCACTTCTAAGCTGCTTAACTTTGAGACCTGTCAGTGTCTCATTTTTATGAATTAGTGAGATAATTTCCTGTGCAGCATGACTCTTCTTCTTCAAGAAAACCACCCATGTAAATCGAGTGAACTCATCCACAACCACTAGAGTATACTTATTCCCACCTAGAGAACGGACAGGAATACTTCCAAACAAGTCCATGTGGAGTAAGTGAATAGGAACATATATACTGGAACATGACTTGGGTTTTGAAAGATGACTTGGTTTGTTTTCCTTGTTCACACGCTGAGCACATCTTGTCTTTTACAACGCTGAATTTTGGGAGACCTCTAACTAGATCTTGATTGGATATTTTGGATAGATTCTTAAAGTTTAGATGAGAAAACCTTTTGTGCCAAATCCAGCTGAGATTGGTTTGAGACTTTGTAAAGAAGCATTGCATCAGCGCCTTGTCACTTGAGAACATATCAAGAACATATATATCATCTTTTCTACTTGCTGAAAGTACGATGTTCTTGTCAGTGTTGACAACTCTTCCTTCCTTCTTTGTAAAGTGAACTTCATAGTCAGCATCACACAATTGGTTGATGGAGATAAGATTGTGTTTGAGACCCTTTACATATGAAACGTTTTGAAAAACCACGTTATTGCACTTGATATTTCCATATCCTTTAGTGAACCCCTTTCCATTGTCTCCGTAAGTTACTGCAGGACCAATTTTCTTGACATAGTCTTCCAGGAGAGACTTGGATCCTGTCATATGTCTTAAACAACCACTATCTAAGTACCAAAGATGCTCCTGACCCTGCAGTGCTGAGAAACTAGTTAGAACTCACTGACCCATTCGAGGATGGGTTATTCACAATGTTATTTGATAATAGGTTATAACACTTTTTAGGAAGACAGTTTAAAGAATTTGACTTAAGAGTCCATTTTTCATTTCTAACTTTAATATTATCAGCTCTTAAAGATGATTTATCAAATGAACATTCACTGATCTTATGAGAGGTATCACCACATCTGTAACACACTCTAGTACCAAAGTTCTTCTTGGTGAGCATATTTCTGGACTTTACATATTTAGACTTGTAAGATTCACCAAGTGAGATTTGTGTCCTTTTGTATGTCATTGAATCAAAACTGAATTCAGTGTCAGACAAATTATGATCAGAGATAGATGATGAGCTATCATCAGTGTCTGATTTGGACTTATTCACAGATGCATTGCAATCAGGAAAATACTTAAGTTGTTCATGAACAGCGTGAAACACTCCATTTGAGATAGGGAAGGCAATAATATTCTCAGTGAGAGGAGTTGGTTTTACAAGATGTGCAGGGTAAGAGGTTGGATCAATTCTGGTAATTTCAACATTGCACTCAATGACACCATTAGATTTAGTAACACAGTATTCATCAATTAGACTCTGATTAATAAAAGAGTTACTAACAAACTTGTTTTTGAAATTGTTTTTCATCTCATTCATGGAATAAAATTCAGATTCTTTTTCTTGTGATTTAAAAACTTTTTCAACTTCTGCATAATTACCCCCAAGAATTTTCTCACATGAATGTGGAATTTGAGCAGAAATAATATAATTAGCATTTTTGTGAGATTTTGCCCAAGTTTGAAGCACCGTTTGTTCTTTGATCAAAAGATCTTTAACATTATCAATTTCAGTAGACAAAGATGAGTTTGACAAACTAGTGATTCTAAGATTTTCCTGAGTGGAATCAATAATGTTATTTTTCATGGATATTTCAGTTTTAAGAAGATCAAGTTGATTTTGCAAATCCCTTATTGTTTGATTCTTCTTAGAATTAAGAACACCCAAATACTCAAACATTTTGATTTTTTCATTCATTGAATAGGAAACAAAGTTTTTAACCTGATACATTGAAGGAGAGTCAGTGTTGTGTTTCCTGGAATTTTCAACTACATCAGACATATCAGCATCAAATGTACTTGTGCCTTTTTTAGAAACATCAGTGTCTTCTATCTTTACCATCAGACACTTGACTTCATCATCTGATGACTCCTCATCAGTCTTCCATTTTTCTTCTTCAGCAACAAGAACTTTATGTTCCAAGTTCTTTGCTTTCAGTTTCTCAATCAGCTTGTTGTACTTCTGCTTCCAGTATTCATCCAAGCCTTGGGTTCTTTGTTTACATTCTTTTGCAAAATGATCAGTGCTCCCACAGTTAAAGCACTGAGCTTTCCCTTTCTTATCAGTACCATGCTTTTTATCAGCTTCTGATCTTTTTGAAAACATTCCACCCATCTTCTTCTAAAACTTTGAGAAGTTTCGGCCTGATTTCTCAAAAGTCTTTACAATCAAAGCCGCACTAGCCACAACCTTTTCAAGATCATCAGTGTCAGTTTTAGAGGAATCAGTGTCTGAATGGCTTTCAGTGTCTGACTCTAACACTAGCTTTTTGTTTGAGAACAAAGCTACAGATGATTCACGCTGAGAATCCTTCATCAGCTCCTTTCTCTGAAGCTTGGATTCCTCATAGTATCGAAGGTTTCCATAGAGACTTTGCAAGTCCATAGTGTTGATCTTCTCACTATTTTTCAGCACATCAACATGGTTCTCCCAACCTGCACCTAGAGAATCCAAAAACTTTTGCACTAGAACAGTTCTATGCTTCAACTGATCTAATCTCTGCAGATTATTAACAAGAGTATTGAACCTGTTAAAGGTTTGAGTCAAAGTTTCACCTTTCTTTGCAAAAAAGTGTTCATACCTTCTGTTAAGGTCATTTATTTGAGTAGCCTTGACTTCTTCAGTGCCTTCAAAAGATACAGTCAGAGTATCCATCATCTCTTTTGCTGAGATGCAATTCTGAACGAGCCCAAAGATATTGTATGGCAGAGCGTAGCTGATTGCAGCACTTGCACGAACATCTAGACCATTTTTTCTTTTGTCATTTGTCGTCCAGTTTTCTCTAGGCGTTTTCTTCATAGCACCATCAGGAACGTTGTTTTTCAGAGGCTGATACATCGGAACGTATGGACCCCTTTCTACGATGTCCAACATGTCTTTATCTACTGACTCTAAAGCATATAGAGCCTTTATTTTCCACATAGCAAAATTTGTTTCATCAAAAGGAGGAATTTTAGCGGAAGGATGATTTGATGAGTTTGACGAAGAAGAAGATGAAGCCATTTGTTTGATAAAAGAAACCTGCTCTGATACCAATTGAAAAGACCTGAGATCAATCAATTTATCAAACAATGACAGTAAATAGGAACAATAAGGATTCACAAAGAAAAACTTTCACTAAGAAGGATAATCTCACAAAGAGATTATCGTATGCACAAAGCGGCTATTAGGGTTTGTGAAAGGCATAACCTATTACAAACTGATACAAAAGATTATATACTACTATTCTAGACTAATTTACGCTAACTATGGAAACAAGATAAATACAAAATCTGTTACAATGTGTTGAATAAATCTATATACACTGAGCTTATTGAAATGCTGATGCTGATGCTGAGACATGCGCTGATGCTGAAAGATTTATTTCAAACATCATCATATTCCAAGGTTTGACCTTACATTGATCAAGTCAAAAAGTTTGACTCTACTTCAGTTAAAGTCCACTGACTAACTCTATTAAGTTCCTATTTGGAGATTCTTATTACATAATGTGAATGGGTCACATGTTGATGTTTTTAAGAATCAAAGAAAAGATAGGAAGCTTAAAGTAAGTATATGTTGATTCTGATTGCGAAGGTGGGTTTCGATCGCATGGTTTGGTAATCAGAATTTTGAGCTGTTGCTTAAGAGTTATAATATATTGCTTATGAATAGATACCAACAAGGTTTTCATGTGGATTGTAAGGATAAGTTTTTCCGCAAAGTTTTAAAATAAAAGAAAAAAGGGTTTTAATTTTATTTATTTTATAAATATCCTTACAATGGCATCTATGGAAAATTGTTGCTTGTATGTTTCTAGTAATAGCAATATTGGAAAGTGGATTTGATTCTTTCATTTGTGGTAGTGTCTGAATTTACCAAATGAAGAAAGTTTTTCATCACCCAAGTTTCAATTGGACAGAAACTTGGAATCATACAAGTTGTATTGTATGATGAATGAGAATTTTCATCTTTGAAAATTAAGACTAATTCTTTGATCACATGTATATGTGAGTCAATTGAAGGACTAAGGAATTAGGTACACTGGGTGTATGCTGGTCAAGGTCCACCACAAAGATTGATTTGTCATGATTTACTAAAGATTAGTAAATATGATTATACTTATAAGGTTAAGTATAATTCTGTAACATTGGCAAGGATACAATGTATGACAAAACAAATGAGAAGAATCAAATTAGGCAGAAAGATAAAAGCTTCTCAAATCTGAAAGGATGGGAAAGTACTTTAGTATCATATTTCATGATCATCTTAATGATTATGAAACCATATCACAAATTCATACTCTAAGGATGTCTTAGTGCATTGTTATGGCTAAGAAGAGAGGTCATGAATTGTTGGATTGGTTAAAATCAAGAAGATGAGTCATACTTCATTCCAAAACAATTCTTAGATTCATACTCCAAGATTGTAACCTTGAGTGACATAAAGGAAGATTTATTAGCACTAGTCAAATGTAAGAGTAAAATGTTTTCTACTCTTTTACATTTGAGATTGGTAAGTTGTGATGTCTTGGATGAGACAAAGACCAACTAAGACCAATTGTGTGAAGTGTTAGTCTTGATAAGAATCCGCACTATCCCTTGAATATTTGTTTTGTCAAGGAATGGTTCTTGACTGGGGAAACTTATATGTTAAGGGGACAGTGGGAGCCTTAAAGATCCTGAAAGAGTTTCAAGATTTAATCAAGAGTGAAACCTGTAATTTATCACTAGCACACGACTTAAGGTTTGCAACCTATCGTGTTGACATAATTCTTATTTCTGTACCTACTTCAAATAAGTTGAATTTGCATGTGAGTTATCAGAGTTCAACTTGGAAGCATTGGTGGGCCTTGTGCTACCAAGGTGACACGAAACTAAGATTGAACAAGTTTAATCCATGTAAGGCTGAATTTGTCACTAACCTTATCTTGTGATTATGGTTCTGACAAACTCACATGGATAGGAACTCATACACTATAAAATCTAAGTGTCATAAGGTTTCTCTCCGATTCATGAAAATGATGGTGAGGAAACGCTTTCACTAAGTAGATTTTAAGTAAATAACAATTGTGTTATTTGCATTTTCAAAAGTCGTTAGTGGAGCGTGTGTGGTTAACCAGCACACAAACATGGACTTGTGAGAAATAGCAAAGGTCTAAGAAATTGAGACTATGATTACGACATCCCTTTTCATAGTTCTTGAAATTGCTTAGACACACATGTGAGCTATCTACGGAAAGGTGTATGAATCTAAATTTTAGAAGTCCAACCGATTTCAGGAAATATGTCAAAGCTAGTGGGAGCATAAGTGTTATGCTAATAATCATCATGTTAGTGGGAGCATGATAATTATGATTAGTATTGCAAGCTAGCAATGTTAATTATACAAAAACAAAAGTTTCAATTCGTGAAGTTGCAGGGGTTGAAAAATTGTTTCGCTATAATTAAGGGAGAGGAAATTATACTTCATTTCAATTCTAGAAGCTTAGATTGAGATTTTAATTATCTTTAGTCAAGGACATATATAAGAATTTTATGTCTGAATGGTTCGACTTAAGCAAATTCTATATATATTGCTTTTTCAAAATTCGATTATGATTACGACATCCCTCTTC